GCTACGCCAAAAAAAATTTAATCAAGTGCGCAACTTTTTTTCTCAATGAAACTCACGTCATGAACTATTTAAATGTTCTTCTAGAACATATCCAAAAATCAGTTTGGGTTATTGTATTTAGGGTTCATACGGAGGCCGTGAACATTGGGTATTTTCGACATATACCGTGACTGAAATCGACAAGTGTTTGTTGTTTCTGGTCGCTATTTTCTCATTCGTTTCTATTTTCATCCGGAATTAAAGCCCGAAAAAGCATTTTCTTCAAAAAAATACCTTTTAACGTTGCTATTGTAGTTGAGTTACAGAGATGTTTTATTGAATCATTGGTAGATGTTTTTTAAGCTTTGCGTAACACTGTTTGACATTGAGTGAACTCGATTGACGGAGGAACGATGTTCAGACCAAATTTGTTTTTAGCAAGGAAGACATTACTAAGCGAACCGGATACAGGAATATCAAGCCAATTACAACTATACTTGTTAGCAGAGGAATCAAGATTTTCTTTAACCCAAATTATGGATAAGGTCAGCAACAGTTAAGTGCCAGGATATTTTGGATAGCACGAAACGATTATACAACAGCAGTTTATTCTTAGAATGAAGAGTCTTTAGATCAAAATGCTCTGATTTGTGTTTTTGTTTTGACATTCAAAATCGAAGTGTCAGCCTAGGTGGCAAAAAAAGTTACGATTTTAACGCAAGGAATTAGATCATTTTTGATTAAAAATGCCCATTGACACCAAACTACAAAACGATTAAGAAGATGCTGGTTTTCTGATTCCTGACAACTGATAATAATAATGATAATGAAAAATGAAAAATGAAAAATGAAAAATGAAAAATGAAAAATGAAAAATGATAATGGTAATGATAATGACAATATATATATTCTCTTGATATATATATATTTTTTTTTTTTCCAACCACCACTTCCGATGAGGGGCTCTTCCTTGAGGTTCCCTCCACAAGCACTACCACTACATTCTATATTTACAACATACAACACTCAACTCACATGTTGCTTTTTAGGGAGGGAGGAAACCGGAGATCCCGGAGAAAACCCTCATGGCAATGGAGAGAACAACACATCAAACAAGCTCAACTCACATATGATCCAGTCTGAGCCAGGGCTCAAACCCGGACCACAGTGGTGAAAGGCGAGCAGTAAAGCACTATCACTACATTCTATATTTACAACATACAACACTCAACTCACATGTTGCTTTTTACGGAGGGAGGAAACCGGAGATCCCGGAGAAAACCCTCATGGCAATGGAGAGAACAACACATCAAACAAGCTCAACTCACATATGATCCAGTCGGAGTCAGTGGTGAAAAGCGAGCGGTAAACCACTACGCCACCCAAGGCACCCATGATGATAATGATAATGATAATAATAGTTAAGATCAGGTCTAAAAAGCCTATATCCGAAGGCATTCTACACCTTTGAATAGACATTTGTTGGTGACACACTAAGGATATAGCCTAGAACTACAAAAGTTCAGCTATATTCTTGTAAAGAATTATATTCCTATGTAGATTATAWTTCTACATAGGATCCTACCAGGTGTCAGAATCCTTTATAGGATCCTGTCTAGGATTAAGTTCCTAAACAGGATTCTTTCCAGGATTATATTCCTATGTAGGATCCTCACACATAGTAGGATACTACATACATGTAGGAATATAATCCTAAACAGGATTTAAGAACTTAAGAACCTGTTTAAGAACTTAATCCTAGACCGGTTAAATTCCAGGATCCTGTGAAAGATCCTGTTTAGGATTATTAAATTCCTATGTAGGATCCTGTCTAGAATAATTTATAATAATGATTATAATAGTTGAATTAATTCTTAAAACAGCTAGTGCATACATCAATGAGTCCTGATACTCTTTAATACAAAAAGTAAAAATGTATAAATATATAGATATGCATAAGTAATATTAAAAAGATACATAAGTATTAATAATAAAAAATAATATGCATGAATGATAAAGAATATTATAAAATTTTGTAGTTACAAAAAGAAAAGAAAAGACTATATCAATAGCCCTTGTCGTAGATGAGCTCACCACCCCAACAACCCAGCGGTCTCATGATGAACGTAGCATCAAAACGAGACAGGTTGGGCTCGAGCTTCGGATAATTTGCTAAGAAATTTACTACAAATCTTCGAGAGATCACTACATTTTGATGGATATCTTTCATATACAAAGAATTTTGTAGGCTTTCTAACTATGGTCAAACACTATATATCTTTTGGATGTACAAACAGAGATTTTACTGGATAAGCCCAGGATCCTGCACAGGATCCTACAGGATTAGCCCAGAATCCTACAGGATATGCCCAGGACCCTACGGGATTAGCCCAGGATCCCACTGGATTAGCTCAGGATCCTGTACAGGATCCTGCACAGGATCTCATACAGGATCCACAGGGAGCCCGGCTTTGGAATCTGTACATGAATAAATAAATCAATAAAGTGCTTTGGGTTTCCTGTGTTGAGATTTGAAACAAGACACCAATGATAAATAAGTCAATAAAGTACTTTGGGTTTCCTGTATTGAGATTTGGTAACTTGATAGCAGATTAATGTAAGAGCAGCTTATAATTCAAATTTAACGTATTAGTGTAACGCACGCCCTAGTAAATGGTAAGAAAGAGAGAAGGGCTGAAACAAGGCAAGTTTATCGTTACATGTGCACCAGCGGTTGATGGGACCAGTGCTAATGAGCTTTAGAGGAACGCAGTCTGAATGTCAACATGAGGAGTGCTGGCAATCGGAATCTGGAATCAAATGAAAACAAATCAAATATTCAAGGAGCAAAATACTTTATGTTATGGTGAGTAAGGTATATTTTTCAAAATATTTGACCGTTAATTTCGTCGTCAGGATCTAAAATCTCATGTTTTTTTCTTCAGGCTTTTGAAAAACTTTTCTGTATCTGGAGTGGAATCCCAGGTTCCACTATCAAGGTTAAATGAAATGTTCTGCAAAGTTCTGGGGAAAGAAAATGGAGTTCCTGATAAAGAAAAAGGACGAATAGGACATTTCCCCTCTGTGGTATGCCAGAAAGTTCGTTTAGAGCGAGGCGGAAAACGAACCTATGTATAATATAAAGGACAATAAAAATAGAATGCTCCATTTCAATGAAACTGTCATGAATCTGTCAAAGTCTATTGTTTGAAAGCGGATATTTACCAGAGAGGTCACGGTTGTAGAGCTAACTGGTCCCATCAACCACTGGTCCACATACATTTAAAGTATGGCTTACAAATATCATTGTTTTGTGTGTCACAGATTAATATTCCCTATAAATAAGACATGCTGTCGTTAAGTTTATTTGTCATTTGATCGTTTGGTGCTGTATTTGCTGGTAATTAACCATGGCAAATTATTTTAACGGCGATTTCAAAATAGGTACTCAAATTAGTTTCAGCCCTTCTCTCTTTCTTACCATTTACTAGGGCATGCGTTACACCGATACGTTACGTTAATCTGCTATCAAGTTACTGGTAGTACGATTACCGGAAATTCAACGTATCAGCGCCTTGTTTCAAATCTCAACACAAGAAACCCAAAGCACTTTATTGATTCATTTATTCATGTACAAATCCCAAAGCCGGGCTCCCTGTGCAGCATCCTGCACAGGATGGTATACAGGAACCTGCACAAGATCCTGTATTATCCTATACAGGATCCTGTAGGATCTTGTACAAGATCTTGTAGGATCTTGTACAAGATCTTACAGGATCCTGTGCAGGATTCTACAGGATCCTATATAGGATAATACACTGTACATAGAATCCTGTGCAGGATCCTACATAGGATCCTAACAGGATCCTGTCCAAGATTATCACCAGGGTTTTAATTAAACGAAGATAAGAATAATAATAACAACAACAACAACAACAACAACAACAACAATAATAATAATGACATACATGTTCTAAATTACTACCTTAAATCCATAGCAATCACTCGGTACTCATCACTAAGTCCCTGAAGCTGATATCTCCAAGAATACCAAAACTGAAACATGATTATTGATAGATGCATTGATTTTTGGCTTTCCAAAAAGTGAAGGAGGGTTATGAAAAATGTTTTTACTGTCTAATGACTTTTGTTATCAAAAGATCCTTTTACAATTCTGTTCAGTAACCATTAACAATAGTTACATGTCCAGGTTGCAAGCAGTCTATTTATCATTAAAAAGTTATTTTACATACTACAGAGAAAACAGCTTGGTGGGAAAACTTTATCTATGAGGGCAGTAAGATTCTGCTTTCTTACATTGTTCTTAAAAGAGGCAAGCATGATACAGTTTCTTGTTACAGAAGGTAACTTAGCCCATAAAAATGGATTATAGTACTGAAAAGAATGTTTCCCAAACCTAGTAGTATTAATTCTAAGTAGAGTGCACGCACTAAACCCGTGAATAATATGTAGTATTAACGGAGAGTTATTTTTGTATTCAAGCAGTGAGCGCCAAAAACTATTTTCTTGAAGAAAGGCTGTTGTACAAGGCTAAAATCTTGTTATTCAGAAAGCTTAACTTGTTTGGATGTGAAGATGACCAATAAAAGTGGAACCAAGTTGTTAACCCAAGGCAAACGTTTGAAACATTTGAAAATGAGGTTTAGGCCTTCATTTGCTTAATTCCCATTATTATATTTTCTAGAAAAAAGACTGACAAAGCAACATTCTGACACAAATGCAACAAAACATATTTGTACAATTGAAAATACCACTTCAAACAGGCATTTTATCATAGTACATCAGTTTCTAACTGTTTAAAAAAGGTTTTGTGTGTTAACCCAAGACGAAAATTGGGATAAAAACTCATATGAAAGTCTAGTTTTTGGTGCATTTTGCCATAATAATTGCTCATTGAAAAAAATTTCCTCTTAATTAGTAGTAATTCATACAGAATCCTTTGTTTCCTACTGTTTGATTATCACTACTCTGTGCGAGCACTATAACATGAAATCTGAGTTTCTTAAATTATAATTATCACTAGTAGTGGTAAATAATTCTAAAATGTTCCTTGGTAAGAACTTATGTCCTGTAAGCGATTATATTATCTAGACAAAGTTGTTGTTTTTGCTCTAATAAAATGTTTGAGCTATTATAAGGAAAACTCCATTCATTATAAACTACCCTCTAMGGCTCTTTCATCGATTCTTTCTAATTTTCGATTTTTTACAAAAGTGAACATCATTTAAATGACATCATTTACTCACAATTTAGAAGCTGAATAAAATTGATATTTTTTATCCGACRCATTTTACTGTGAAGAAAATGTTGTTTGGCTACTTAATTGGGGCCATATAGATACTTTTAACTAAGTTTAAAGTAATTTCCAATTTTTATCCATTTTCATCCAAGTTCCCCTTTAAAAATGTGTTTACAGTAGTTTTTCTGACACCTTGGTTAATAGGGAATTACACCCCGTTAATAAGTACAGTTTTGTCCGTCGAAATGGTGTCCTTATTAATGGGCTTTCACTGTAGTTGTTTTAGTTCAGAGCAATCATTGGCACAGGGAGCCCAATTTAGATTAAAGTGAATGGTGAAAATAAAATCGGAAAAATTAAATAATTAATAATTTTTTWAATTTGAGATCAAGATGTCTTCTGTAATGTAAAAGAGTAAAAAAATCAATAAAAAATGCACCAGGACGCACCTTTGTTTTCCTATATAATTTTCCTATGGTATCCGATGTTGGTCTTATGTAAATATACTCAAGGGAGGAAACTTCAGTCGCCATATTTGAACAAACAACTCACTTTAAACCACGATTTCATCGTCTTTTAAACCTCGAACTCCACAAAAAACTTGATCAAAATGATCCCTAGATGGGGAATTCATTTATTTAAAACTCTTTTGGCTCTTCCTACAAGGTTTCTTTGAGTGTCAAAGTTGCTACTTGCGTAGGACTCAGGCGAGAACAAATTTCGACCTTATTACTCTCCCGCACAGGATTTTTGTAACGTGTACACGACCCACCACCAGCCACCCCACAGGGCTAGTTTTGTTCTTGAAAAATCCTTGCACAAGGTTCTCTATGGTCAACATTTTTTTCTTTTTTGGATGGTTTTACTTGTCAAATGAAAGATAACTACCGATAATTCAACACGATATCAGATTTAGTGAAAATTACAATGGATGCCTTTCATTTAACTTGAAATTTTGGAGATTTCCGGACTTTTTCAGGACAAAACTGGATCATCATGAAAGCTGGTAAGCAAAAATCAATGCTAAATTTTTATGCTTTTCGTTTAAAAAGTCCATGATGTAAATGAAAATATTTTAATGAATGAATTATCAGTTTAGCTAATGCCAGTTCGGTTTTGTTGTTTATAGGGCGGGGCAAAAAAATAAATCATTCAATAGTTGAGTAATAAAGCTAAGGTCCTGGTGCATTTTTATTGATTTTTTTACTCTTTCACATAACAGAAGACATTATCTTTATCTCGAATTTAAAAAATCATTAATTATTTAATTTTTCCGATTTTATTTTCACCATTCACTTTAATCTAAATTGGGCTCCTGTGATCATTGGCAGTTAAGCATTATAAATCTTATCATTCTCAATTAATTTAAAATGTTTTTCTAATGATTTTTTTCTTCTTATGTACTACATATACTATAAAGGGTTTAGATGACGTGGATGAACCAATCATTCCATTTAAGATTTACAAAGTCCAAGGACTTTGACTCTGATATCGATCTAAAGAAAATTTTGACCTTATACAATTGAAAGCTAGATCAGTCAAACTGCAGAATATTCAACATTTTAATGCAGATCAACATTTCAAGTACTATAATCCACATTGTCTCATCATAAAGATAAACTTATTTGAACATCATTGCTCAAGGTTTTATAAAACAAACGTGTGCTGCAAAATTGTAGGGACAGATTTTTAATATGAAATGGTAAGTTAAGCATATATTTCAAGCCACAAACACCCTGTTACAAATCGATAAATCTAGAATACTGAATTCTTATAATTATTTAATGTGCAGTATACTGTACCTCTGGATACCCATGTAGGCATAGCATTAGTGGTTTGTTGTCATCACCCTTGGCAACATAATGGAACACCATTTTGGAAGGGATTTTGATAAAATGATGTTCACCATATTCATGATTAATGAGGCATTCTGGAACTATAAAATTATAGAAGAATCATAGAAAACATCAAAACATACAAGGAATCTTGTGAATATTAATAAAAGGTCATAAAACTTACATGTATGTGATTGTATACTTTTGATTAAAGTGCTACTACAGTCAAATTTGTGACTTTTTTGTCTGGATTGAAAGATCATTCATAGTGAAGTGAAATTATATCACTTTCCTTTTTCAAATATCGTTTGTCCTTCAAAAGTTATTGGAAGTTAAAAATGCCAGCCATTTTTCATGATGTTGTCATATTCTCAATTTCCGAGGTACCCACATCAACAGTGTTTAAGATAAAACCTAGAATATGTAATATTTAATTAATGTTGCTTCACAAATGTTTTAAAAATACCATGAGCATTCAGATTCTTGCACGGCAGCATTATTTTGTATTCCATTTATTGGATTAGCATCATAAATAAGCTATTTGTAGAATATAGATCTGCAATGAAACTCTAATCAACCCTTCAAACAAAATAGCTGTTAAAAATTTATGAAATGTCTCACAAGCTATTTTTTGGAAAAATTGTCTAAATATGATCTGCGTGGACAGAAAAAATCAATGGGCACCTATGTCTTGAAAATATTCATAATAAAAAATTGCCTTTTATTTACTTCCAATCAAATGTACAACTAATCAGCTTTCTCACAGGATTTTTCTTCTTTCTTTTACCTCTATGCTGCTGTAGTCTGTTACAATAACTTTGGTAATGGCGAACAATCTGCACTGTACGGTAAGTTTACCGTTATCCTACCGTTATCTTGCTGCATTATCTTACCGTTACCTTACCGACCAGTAACAAACGCTAGGAGATTGCTATTTCATTTAAAATTTGACCGTAATTCATCGTTAGTCTTGTTGTCTACCTATATCTACACTGTATCTTCTTTCTTTAAGATGCAAAATTAACCTAATAAAACTGAATCAAACTGAAATTACCTTACCGTTACCTTACCCTTATCTTACCGTTACCTTACCGCTACCTAACCGTTACATCACCAACCATATCTTACCGACCGAATAACATTTGTTTACTTTAAAATCATCTTAAACTTCAAACCAGAGTGGATCTATGGTGTGATGGAATTGTAAGTAGTTGAGAGATAATGGTTTTTTATTATTATTTTGCCATATTTAAACATGGCTCTTTTAGGAGGTATTGCATGCTGATAAATTCAATAAGATCTACTTGATATCTATTTTTTAATTTTAATTTTTTCAAATTTATACTATTGCGTATAAATTTGGATGAAAAGTCTTGGGCAGAAAAAAAGGTTATGACACCGCTTGAAAATTCGATCTAAAATTTGAAACATCATGCTTTAGAAACATTACCACTGAATGGATTGCCTTGAAGTTTTCACATATCTGTATGCAATAGTCAAAACATATTAAGTAAATTTGACTTTCAAACATGCATGATAAATTCGACTTCACAAAATGCCAAAACTTAGTATCCATGCTTAAAACTTAAGGCTAATTCTTTCATATTGTGTTTGTTAAGACAGTATCTTGATCTGACAAAAGTATACTCTCGAACCTTTTCGTATACTTTGAGAAAACAAACATTTATTTTCTCACTCAAACTCTTCAAAATTCTTAGAAAACGTGCTGAAATGCACGCATGCGCAACCTTTTTTCTTTAGTGTCATTCCTGACACTAATATTTCACCTTTGTTGGCCTATATTGTGCAATGAAATACAATTACTAGTCAGTTAGTCCTTGAGAAAGTCAGTACTCAAGAGATTTCTGACATTATACAAAACTCAATCCTTCCAAATCTACTGGAACTTTCAGGATCCCAACTAAAATTCTTTTGATTATAAAAGATCTCATATTACAGTACATCCTTTTACAAACTATATTCAATCTCTCATTTGAAAGTGGAGGTAGTACCTAACAAGTTTATGACTGCTAATGTCATTCCAATCCATAAAAGTGGGTCAGAMCTTATTGTAAATAATTATAGACCTATATATATCTCTTCTATCTGTTTTCAGCTATATTTTTGAAAAGCTGATGTTTTCCAGGCTCTTACAGTTTACTGACAAAAAAATATTGTACAGTAAGCAATTTGGTTTTCGACAAAACCACTCTACATTCCATTCCATTATACCTATCAGACTTGAATTTGTTCAAAAAGCAATATTGATGACTGCACTTACTAATGTGTTTTATATTTTAACCTAAGCAAAGCTTTTGATGTAGTCAATCATAATATCTTACTAAAAAACTCACAGGTGGTGTATCAGTGAGAGCGCTCGCCTCAGGCCGATGCGACCTGGGTTCGAGTACCGCTCAGCTCTGTGTCGTATGTGAGTAGAGTTATTTGTTGGTTCTCTCTTGTGCTTCGAGGGTTTTCCAGGTTCCCCGGYTTTCCTCCCTCCGCAAAAATCRACTCCTAAATTCCAATTGGAATKACAGTGGATGAAKAGCTACTCTGTAGAAATGCCACTGCTAAAATCCCATTTATTTTTTAATTGTTTTATTTATTTATTTATTTATTTGTTATGGCCTGAGAGATAAGTGTATGAATTGGTTTACCTCCTACATACTTCACTGGGAGAAGCCAATATGTATGGGAATACGGTAACCAGTCGTTTCGCACAATTGCCTTTTTCGCACGAACCCGTTCGCACAACTATGACCTGTTTGCTCAATTCCAAGAGTCGTTTAGCACAACTTTAAAATACAGTATAATTATGGTCACTAAGAAGTCATGAAAATATTTTTCCTCTGTTCCTGTAGATGGGTTTCCTTCCCCAATAATTCTGTTTCAAGCATCCRAGTTGATCGAAAATTGCACAAAACGAACAGCACCATTGCTTCAAGTGTGCCAAAGTGTAATATCTTTCCTTGACTTGCCAACTTAATCGCCATTAAATTTTTTGTTTATTTATTTGCTTGTCGAAAAGCTTGTGCATATAATATCTATTTTCTCCAAAGTATTAATGAGAATCTCAAGGTGACTACGACCAAAGTGAAAAAAGAGTCAGGCTAACGAACTATTAATAATAAAGTAGAACTCTTCGGAATGATAGTTATCGTGCTATGATTACTGTGAGACCATCTTAGATTGACCTGTTATGGTATATTATGGCGTATTTTTGCATGCTTTACTGAGGACCAGTGTATTAATGCATTTAATTGTTAAAACATGTCACTTCATGYTGGTCACTTATTGAACCAAAATGAGGTGTTTTGATAGCGCAGGGTTTAAGGACAGAGAACCAGACATGTGACTTTTTATACTAAACTCTTTTTTGTAAATTAAGCTTATTACATGATACGAAAGAGTTAAAAAGAATGTT